AAATTCTTAACTGCAACTCATATACCACAACGTAGCAAATCTATCACTCATAGCAGCATTTTAGGTGGCAGAAAACGGAGATATCAATAGATGCCAAAGACTTAAACTTTCAGACCTGGATATCTAAAGCCTGTCAAACAACAAGTTATTTTCAACTCTTTAGGAACCCATGCCTCAGGGATGCAGATGCTCCAATCCAGGGTTGACACAAGGGCCTACTGTGTATCAAGCACCGCTCCAAGGTTTCAGCTACCCAAGGACCTATGTTCAATTCCTGGCTCCAATTCCTGACTCCAGAGCTTGCTGTTAATGCAGACCTCAGGAGGCAGCAGTGCTGGCTCAAATAATCGGGTTCTTGCCCCATCCAATTAGGAGGCCCTGACTATGATCCTGGCTCCTAGCTTCCGCCCAGGCACAGACCCAGTCCTGGCTGTAGAGGGCTTTTGGGGAGTGAACTAGCAGGTAAGAATTCTCCTTTGCTTTTTCTCTCTCTCAGTCTCTGCCTCTCAAATAAATAAAATAATAACTTTTAAAAGAATCTATGTGGGGCTGGTACTGTGGCGTAGCAGGTAAAGCCTCCACCTGCAGTGCTGGCATCCCATAACGGCGCCAGTTTGAGACCTGGCTGCTCCACTTTCAATCCAGCTCTCTACTATGGCCTGGGAAAGAAGAAGATGGCTCAAGTCCTTGGGCCCCTGCACCCGCACGAGAGACCCAGAAGAGGCTCCTGGCTTAGGATCAGCTTAGGAGTGAACCAGCGAAGACCTCTCTCCCTCTCTCCCTCCCTCTCTCCCTACCTTTCTCTCTCCCTCTCTCCCTCTTCCTGCCTTTCCTTCACTCTCTGTGTAACTGTGACTTTCAAGTAAAATAAATAAATCTTCAAAAAAAATTTATGTATCAATTTGTATAAGGAAAAGCGTTTCATAGTTTCCAAAAATATTTCCTATCCAATATGTCACTTGTAAACCAATATAAATTTTAGGGAAGGGGCCAGCTTGTGGTACAACAGTTAAGCCACCATTTGCAATGCCAGCATCCTACACTAGAGTACCAGTCTGAGTCCTGGCTGTTCTGTTTCTGATTCAGCTTCTTGCTAATGCGCCTGGGAAAGCAGAATAAGATGGCCCAAGTACTTGCACCCCTGCTATCCATGTGGGAGACCCAGATGGGGTCCCTGGCTCCCGACTTCATCATCGGCTATTGAGGGTATTTGGGTATGAACTAGTGGATGGAAATATCTATGAGTGTTTGTGTGTGTGTGTGTGTCCGCCTTTCAAGTAGATGGAAATAAAAAAAAAAGTATCTTAGACACAGCAGGTTGCTTGATAAATTGTAGCTACCATCATTAGCTACAATAAACATCTGAGTGTAGAGATTATCAATTTATGGAATAGTGTTACATACAGAGGGTATGGAATTCTACAAATTATTTAAATAAATGTATTTCTGTTAATTCCCAAATTAGGTATAAATCTCAGAGAAAAGTCAAACTCTTTTAAGTATACTGTAAATAAAAGGTTATTTTGTTAGTTTCAAAGTAAAAATGTGTTATCTACAACTACATCTGTGTTAACATTTTTAAGGTCCAAATAAATATAAGAGTTCAATGTGTTTGTTTTTTCTGCCTTTGGCAGAAGGAAAAAAGAATTCTAAGCTCTTAGAAAACAGAGATCAGAATTTGTTTTCATGACTTCACATGTCTTCATGCAACTAAATGTAAGTGCCTTTAACATAAGAACTCTTTCAAATCTCTAAGTTCCTGCACTATCTTTGTGCAGAAGCAATAAAGACTGTGCAACCAGAATGCCTGGGTTCAAACCATGGCTCCAATTAGCTATATGACCTCAGGCAAGCTTCAACCTCCCCAGGCCCATTTCCTTGTCTAAAAAAAATAGATTCCTCACAGGACTGTTGTAGGGATTAAATGAGTTGATAAATGTTCATAAAATAGCCTAGATAGGGGCCAGCGCTGTGGCACAGCGGGTTAACTCCCTGGCCTGAAGTGCTGGCATCCCATACAGGCGCTGGTTCTAGTCCAGGTTGCTCCACTTCCGTTGCAGCTCTCTGCTATGGCCTGGGATAGCAGTAGAAGATGGCCCAGGTCCTTGGGCCCCTGCACCCATGTGGGAGACCCGGAAGAAGCTCCTGACTTCGGACTGGCGCAGCTCAACTCTGGCCATTGTGGCCATCTGGGGAGTGAACCAGCAAATGGAGACCTCTTTCTCTCTCTCTCTCTCTGCCTGTCCTCTCTCTGTGTAACTCTGACTTTTGAATAAATAAATAAATCTTAAAAAATAAACTATTAAAAAAATAGCCTAGAGCAAGGTGGGCTCATTATAAGTGTTTACAATTTTGGTTATTGTTTCATTATTGCCACCTATGTCAATAAATACTTGCTACTTTGTAGGCAAATGGCTTTACCTAAAATGAAACTTATTTAGGAAGTACCTTATCATGACTTCCTTGGCTAGTAAAGATAAAGCAATTCTCTGGGAGCAGATTTTAGGGCAAAGTGAAGGATAGTCAATCCCTTTCCAACACTTCCTCTGACACAAATCTGTAACTTGCTAATGGAAGTTCAGAACCAAAAATTTTCCATGTAACTCTGACTTCCACTTACTGTATTTTACTTAATCCTGCAGCATACCATTCATAGATGGGGTATGGCACATACCAACCTAGGAGACACCAAATTCTCAACTAAAACTACACAGCTCTTCAAAGAAAAAAATGATTGTCCTTATCGTACAAGTTCAGCGCTTTGAAACCAACAGCACACTGCATCTATGAATGGAATGCCAAAGGATTAAGTAAAATACAGTAAATCAAAGTCAAATTTACATGGCAAATGGAATTAAAAGATACAGGGTGGGCATTTGGCCTTGTGGCTAAGAAGCCCGTTAGGCTGTGCATGTCCTGCATCAGTGGACCTGGGCTTGAGTCTGCTCTCTGCTCCAGATTCCCGCGTCCTGCGACTGAGGATCCTGGGAAGCAGCAGGTGACAGCTCAGGAGTTGTGCCTCTGCCACCCACACGGGAGATCTGGACTGAGTTCCTGGCTCCTGGGTTTGGCCAGACCCACCAGGCAATCCAGGGCACTTGAGGGGTAGAGCAGCAGATCCAAGGATATCTATCTCCCTTCTTTCATCCCTCTCTCTCATAAAACTCTTAATGTATAGAAGTTTATTTTTGGTACAAAAAAAGTTGAACAGTTTTCTCATAACAGGTTTTTTTTATTAAATTTTTGAAGATTCCTCTTATCATGAATTGAGATTTTCTGCACCAAAATAAATGTTTTAAATTGTTTTCCATGAACTTTAAGTGCCCTTGTACGTTTTAAAACATTATTTTACAAAAGTACTTGTTGAAATTATAACAATAGGTTTCTCCAATGTCAAACAATTCCCTTCTAACTCCATGACGGGTGTTCTACCCATTTTCTAATCAGCGGCCAAGATAACAAGGCAGTCACATTGAAGTCCCCATCCCACCAAACCACACCCTGCTTAAAATGTACCCGTTCTTAGAATGCACACCACACAACAAATAACGCAGGTGGGATCTGTGATACCCACGTCTCACACCTACACCAGGAGATGATGGAGTGACATCCTGGGAGCTGCCTAACTGAAGATCAGAAAAATGTCTCTGCGGTTACTAAAGGAAGCGATACCACCCCCAAGTCCCAGCTGTCTTCGTATAGAAATACGCTGAGTATCTGCAGATCCAAGACTAAGTCGGCCCAGAAAATCCGAGGGCACGTGCCTAAGGCCTAAGGTGAGGAGGAGAATGTCCACCTGGCTCACTCTCAGATTCCAGGTGGGTGCCAGCATCCACCAGAGACACGACCCTGCAGCAGCCATCCAGAAGGCACTAGGGAGACCCCAGGTCACTTGGCACCCTTCAGGTGGTCCCACTGCTGGCCTGACGTCAACCCCCAACCTGGTCAACAGGACCACACTCCGGCAATCAAGAGCTAAGAGTCTTCTAGTTACAGCTCCACCTGGGGATTCTTGACTCAAGCAACCAGAGCAATCAAACTGGGGAAATTGCAGAAGTTAGTTTCAAAATTCCAGTGCGAAACGTATCTGAGTATGCTTTGCAGATCTAGTCACTTTGCTTGGGACGAGAAAAAAATATCTCACTCCAGGGTTTTTTGAGCCTGAGATGAGGGACCCTGGGAACAACCAGTACCTTTGTTTCTCCTACAGCACGCAACCCAGGAGTGAGAGAGAGAGAGAGAGAGCGAGAGCGAGAGAGAGAGAGAGCTCAGAAACACCTAAGGAAGTGCTGTCGGCGTCTCAGAAGGAACTCGCTACAAAGAAACCGGCGGTAGCAAGGCAAGGCAAGGTTTCTGACAACACCGGACCGGGATGCGAACCAAGTTGCCGCTGAAGTTGATCAAGGCAGCGTTTCCGTTCTAGCTGAGTTTCTGGGATGGGGTCCGGGTCTGTGCTCCACAAGCCCGCCCTCTCAGGAGCCGGGATGCAAGGGAATTCTTGGGCGCCGTCCCTCCTGCCTCCTCCCCATTCCCGGAGAACTTCGGCCAGCAGAGATGCCCCGGCCCGGCCCAGGGTTCCTCCCGCGGACGCGACTCGCCGACTTCTCGGCCCCCGGCGGAGCCGAGCTCTCTCCAGGCCCTCCTCTCCCGTCTCAGCGAGACGGGGCCGCCCCCGGCGCCGGCCCCAAAGCCCTGGGCCCCGCCGCGCCCCGCCGGCCCCCCGAACCGCGACTCCCCGGCCCGGGCGCCCGGCGCCGCCGCACCGGCTCCGGTGCTCCTGCGCGCGCCGGGCTGCTCCCGGGGCTCGCTCGCGGCAGCCTCGCCCTTCCCAAGCCGGGCCGTGCAGGGCTCCGGGCCCCGCTGCCCTGGGCCTCCCGAGGCCGCGCGTCCCCCCACCAGGCCCCAACTGGGCCTCTCGGCTCAGCGGCCCTCCAGGCACTGCCGGCCCGCCCGTGCCGACGCCAAAGCGCAGGCCAGCTCGAGCCCGGCCGGGCACTTACTCGGGGAGGTAGGTGGAGGAGAAGGAGCTCCACTTGTGCAACGCGTAGGGCAGAAGCCGGCACTCGGGCGCCGCAGCTACAGCCCCGCCGGCCGCCATCTTGTCAGCACCCGAGCGGCCGCCACCGACCGCCCGCCGCGCCGGGAGGGGGCGTGGCCTGCTCTTAAAGGGGCCGAGGCCCGCGCCGTCGTGTCCTCGGGCGTCCCCCGCCGCCCGCGGCTTGGTGGCCGCGTCTGGGCTGTGAGCGCTTGCGGGGCTCTTCTGGCGGGAGGTTGGAGGGGCTAGGGGGTGCCTTGCCAGGGATGGGGCGCAGAAGACGTCTTTTAGGAGCGGAGGTGAGGAAAAAAGCCAAGACTTCTCAGGAAAGGAGGCCAATTACAGTTGTGGAAGACGCACGAGGAAAAGGGCCGCTCCGGCCAAGTCGTAAATCCCTTAAGGAAACAGCGCTGAAAGGAGCTAGAGGGTGACGGCCCGAGTCCTGTCCTGCGGGGGCTGCCAGGTGAGTCGCAGGGAGACCAGCCCGGCGCCTGCCCCGTCGCCGGCAGCATTTCGGGGGCCTCCCACGGATCTCGGGGCACCGCTGGCTCCAGGCTGGCCTCGGCCCCCGGCGGAGCTGGTGAGCGCTGGGTGTCCAGCCCACCGAAATAGAGCCCCACACAGTGGAGAAGCGTGGGAGGCCCAGGCCAGCCCTTCCTAGACGGCGTGGGAAAGCTTTCGGGGCGCCCCCACCCCACCCCCGCCACTCCCCGCAGCGGCTTCTCACGAAACGGACGCGGGGTCGCGGGCTCTCCCGGGGTCTGGCAGCTGCAGCAGAGGCGCCGGCGCTGCACCTGCGCGTCCGGGCTCTGCGAGTTGATGTCTGGGCTTAGCTGCCGCGGTTGCCGGGCGGGAGGTGAGCCTAAGGGAGGTTGTTGGCGCGGGAGCGGGTTCCGGCGAGAGAGGGGGGTAGAATGTTCCCCGGGGGCCAGGACGGATGGGCGCCTCTCCAGACAGATCAGGGAGAGCACCCGCCTTTCAGCCTGGGCTCAGCAAGCTTACATCAGTTCACCGCGAGAATACACCGGACAGGTCCAGTGGGCTTGACCGTAAAGAGCTGAAATACACCTGCTACACCCTGCGGGCGGCTCAGGCAAGAGCTGAGCGCACCGGCTGCATTCAGACTTCGCCTCCCGCCTTTCTCCTCCCCCCACCCACCACCGCCTTCTCCCGGACCAAGGGTTTCCTGGGTGTGGGGTGTGTGAAATTCCTCCCAAGCTTTTAGTACCCAGTGTTAGCGGACTGGGGGCCCACTTGGCAGTAGGCAGAGAGGTCTCTCCTGGGATGCTTTCCTTGGGAGGCAGGTTCGGGCCACCTTTCAAGTTACTGGGGTGGGAAATATCACTATTTCCTAAAGCTGTATATATGAAATGCATGAAATTTGTTTACCTTAAATAAAAAAAGAAAAGAAAGTTAGGGGGGTGTGGACAGGGCTTTGCGGTGTACAGTACTGGGCTGCTCCCAAGGCTGCTGCTTTCCTTTCCTGGGGAGCTGTGTTTCCCTTGGCGGTTCACACACATAGGTGGATTTCTAACTTCTAACACGGTTACCAAAGTCCCTCAGTGGCTACTCCTGGGCAGTGCCATCTTCCCACCTGATGATGGAGGCGCCGGAGTGAATGACCAAAGGAGTCCAACCCCGCAATACTGCTTTTCCCTTCTGGCGGTGGTCACTCAGCTCCAGCTTTTCCCTTCTGGCGGTGGTCACTCAGCTCCAGCCTCTCCTGTGTCCCGGCTGCTGTAGGGAGGATCCTTTGTAGTGGCCACTGCTGGGATAGCAGATCCAGGCCGCCAGGTGGAATGGAATGTGTCTGCTCCTTGAGAGAGTGCTGGGACCTGTGGGAAACACTGCTCAGTCCCAGAGACACCAAGCGGTTATTTTTTGGGGAAAAAAGAAACTGTAAACAGGAAAAGATTGAGATGGAGACGCCCTTCGCTTAATTTGGGGGCCAAAATTTGCTAATTAAACTTGTTCCCTTAATGTCAATATTAAGTTTTTGTTATTCTCTAAAACAGTTATGGTTCACAGGCAATCTTCTTTTAAAACATATAAACCAGCTCTCCCTAAGCTTAAAAACCTTCCAGTGACTTCCGTTCCCCTGTAAACTGCAGAACGGAGGCCACTGGTTACCCGCCCCGAGGGCCCCCTCCACGCTCACTCTCGGCCCCCTCCTTCCTTCTCCCTGTACTCTGGTCACACTGGACCAGCACACTGAATTGTCTCTACACTCTGTGTTCTTGCCTCCAGGACTGAACCTAAGCCACTCCTGGAACATTCTCCCCAGATTTCACCAGGCTAATTCCTGCTCATCCTTCAGATTCTTTTGTTCCGGGACACTCTTTCCCCCATCACCTGTTCTGAGGTTAGGTGACATTTTCTAACATTTTTCCTTAGCAATCTGAGTTCCCCTCTTTAGCTGAGCAAACATCACAATAGATTTTAATTTCCTTTTTATTTCCCTTTCTCCCTAAAAGGAAACTTCCAGGAAGGTAGGCGTCCTGCATGTCTTGTTCACAGTTGTAACCTGCTATAGTGTCTAGCACATAGCAGATGCTCAATAAATATTTATTAATGAATTCGGCTAAAGGAGAACTTGAACTAGGGATATACTCATTGCAAGTGAACAAGAGGGCCAGACCTCAGAGTTCAAACAAATATCCTTGAGGTCTGATTGCCACAGAGAGTGACAAGACCTAGGGCACAGCTTTCCTGCAGCACAAATTTTACAAATGATAAAGCCATTTAAAGCATTCCTGTGTTAACATAAATACAGACGGATGTAATATGATACTGAGCTCAACATTGCATAAATGTTAAGATAAAATAGAAGACTGAAGAATTGTCAAAATTTGCAGGAGGCCACCAGTGGCTACACCCTCCAGGGATACACTTTACTCTCTCCTGTGTCAGGCCTTTAGCTGATGGGGTTTATTCTGAGGATGCACATGGAAGGCCTGGAAGTCGTTCCCCTACACTTCAAAGGCCAGGACATATTCCAGCACCCTGGGAAGCTGGACAGTGGATCTTCATTTTTTCAGAGGTCAGCAGTAGCTGTGATAACCCTGTAACTCTAATCACCCAGTCATCATCCCCGAGGGCTTTTCACTTTGCATCTCGCCTTAGACACTTCCCAGAGACTTAACTGATAGTTGGTCTGTCTGCTATCCACTATCTCTTCCTGCAAGAAAGATTTATTGGGCACTTAGGATGTACTAGGCCCCGTCCTAGAAGACAAGGGCCCTACTTCATGGAGCTTCCATTTTGGTGGGGCAATAAATAACAAATAACTGGGTAACTTTAGTCTGTGCTAAGAAGAGACCAAACCCAGGAAGTTTTCAGATCGGATGGTAAGAGAAGCTTCTCTAAGAAGGTAATATTTGAACTAAAACCTGTACAATGAGAAAGAGCCATTCATGCAAAGGCTTGGTTAAGGCGTTCAAAGAATGGGGCCCTGACTCGTACAATGATTTATTCCAGGAGATACAGCTAGCCAGTAACAAAGCCCAACTCTCAATTAAAAACCCATCCTGTCTGCTTGCATCACATTTCTTCTTAAATGAGGTGATAAATGGGAAGAAATTTGGGAAACTGTGAAGTTTTATTCAAATGCAAGATACAGTGAAGTAATAATAAGGCCACCATAGTCAAAAAGCAAAATAAATACAGCTGAGTTTATTTTCGGGCAGAGGAGCACATCATTTGTCTGAAGGCAAAAAGCGGGTGTTTTTCATTGTCCAGGAAGGGGTTTCATGGTTGTTACGCTAATTAGTCATAACAAAATATCCAAGACTGGGTACTTTATAAAGAACAGACATTTCTTTCTCACAGTTCTGCAGGCCAAGAATACAACGCCTGCAGGTTCTGCGTCTGGTGAGGGCCCAGTCTGTCTCCTGCCAAGGTAGTGCCTGATTACCATGTCCTCCAGAGGGCACAAACACTGTGACCTCACGTGGCAGGAGGAATGGAGGGGAAGGGCTGCAGCCCTTGTACAAGGCTACTAATCTCATTTATGAGGGCAGAGCCCTCACAGCCTCATTATCGACCTTTTCATACTGTCGCATTGGGGATTAAATTTCAACATGAATTTTGGAGGGGATACAGCCATTCAAACCATAGCAAAGGATTAGAAACAAACACTCTGATTAAGCTGGAATGAATCCATGGCTCTGTATGCGATTGGTTAAAATAAGACCTATATTTCATTGGTCAAAGGGGAAAGAATCTTCAGATAGGTCTTATAGGGATCTGTAGAAGACTTACTTTATCATATGAGGATCACTTAAAGTTCATGGTTTCTTTTTTTAAGATTTATTTTATTATTTATTTGAGAGGTAGAGTTACAGAGGAAGAAAGAGAAAGACAGCGAGAGCTTCCATCCACTGGGTCATTCCCCAAATGGCCACAGCGGCCAGGGCCCAGCCAGGCTGAAGCCAGGAGCTTCCTCCAGTTCTCCCACAGGCAGGCAGGGGCCCAAGCAGTTGGGCCATCTTCCACTGCTTTCCCAGGTGCATCAGCAGGGAGCTGGATCAAAAGTGGAGCAGCCAGAATGCAACCCATCATCCATCCATATGGGTTGCTGGCATTACAGATGGTGGCTTAACCCATTATGCCACAATGCCAGCCCCATGGTTTCTTTAACATCTTTTAGAAGGTCAGAACAGGCAAAGCATGACACAGTATTCAACTTCTGCTTGAAATGAAAAAATGTTCCTTGGTGACATTATTAATCAAGTGATGAAAAAATGATACCCAAATATGTTAGCTGTCACCCAAATATGTTAGCTGTCAAGCCCACAACAGCTATTGCAGATCTGAACCTTGAACCTAAGTTCTTAGTTGCTGCTTTCTTGATGTGCTTAATATGGAATTTTTGAGGTCTACATCTACATTATTCTTTAAATAAATATTTCCTAGATTGAAACCCTTAGACCTCCTGAACTTCTTACCACTAATTTATGATTGGGCAGGCATTTCACCTAGCAAGTAAGATGCCCATATCCCATATTGGAGTTACCTGGCTTCAATATCTGACATGCTCCTGACTCCAGTTTCCTGCTAAAGCAGACCCTAGGAGGCAGTGGTGATGCCTCAAGCGACTGGTTTCCTGTCACCCACATAGACTGAGTTCCCGGCTGCCAGCTTCAGCCCCAGCTCTGCTGCGGCCATCTCCAATGAACCAACAGATAGGAGCATATTTCTCTCTCTCTCTCTCTCTCTCTCTCTCTCTCTCTCTTTCTCTCTTTCTCTAGTAAATTTTTAAAATAACATAAAAGGAGTTTGCTTAGGGGTCATCTATAAATCAGAATACTGGACAAAAATAAAGGCATAGGGGTTGTTGACACTTTTTTAGCCAGAAAATGAGGAAAATCACTGGTGGGATTAGAAGAATGAGCATGTCCCCGGTACAATGCCCATCAAACCTCCTCTTGCTTACCAGGAACACACATCTTCTCAATCCGTCCTCACGACAGCCCTGCAAGTCAAAAGAGGGACATTGAGATTCACCAGACTCACATGGATCCTCTCCACCTAACATCACCCCAAGATTCAGGATCCACAAGGACAGGAAAAGGATTTGCACCGATTCCTAAAGCTAACAGCTACGTCTCAATCTTATTTCTGTTCTCTGGTGGCTCCCAATTTCAACTTTGTGGTTTGAAATGATTTCTTGTGAGCACAGCACTGCTATCAGAAATGGGTGAAAATCAGAGTTTGCTAAGCAGGAAGCTATCCTTTTATTTCCAAGGACAAAGGATTTCAGCCCTGCCCCAGGGGGGACCCTTGCCCAAGTCGCAGGTGAGCATTGAGACCAGCTCAGGTAGGAGGCTAAGGTCTTCTCTTCTCCCAGGAGGTGGCAGCAGCAGCCGCAGCCTGCTGGAGGAATCGGAGTTCATCTGTTTTCCTGTTGGCATCCAAACCTAGAAATCCCTGCTTCCAGAATCCACTCTATCCCTTCCTTCATTTGCTGAGCTTGGTTGGAGCCAGAGCATCAGGAGTGCAGGAGCTGGCAATGAGACCTCTCTGTAAGTGCCTGGTTTTTTTTGTAAACACTCTGGTCTGAGCCATGACCTTGAAGCCTCTATAAAGGAGGATCAAGAAGTCTCTGGCCAGGGAAAAAGAACTTCAAAAAGAAACAATAACTGCAACAGTTACATCCACACAAGCATAAATCCAGAGGAGGCCAGCTCACAGTGAGGTCCCACACAAAGAATACAGGTTCTAGATGTGGTACTCCCAGTACCAACCAGCTGACCTAGTCAGCCAGTGTGGACTGGGTGATCCCTAGGTGCCTGCTAATCCTTCTAATTCTTACTTTTTTTAAAAGATTTATTTTACAGCCGGCGCTGTGGTTCACTAGGCTAATCCTCTGCCTACGACGCCGGTACTCAGGGTTCTAGTCCCGGTTGGGGCGCTGGTTCTGTCCCGGTTGCTCCTCTTCCAGTCCTGCTCTCTGCTGTGGCCCAGGAAGGCAGTGGAGGATGGCCCAAGTGCTTGGGCCCTGCATCCACATTGGAGACCAGGAGGAAGCGCCTGGCTCCTGGCTTCATATTGGCACAGCGCGCCAGCCATAGCAGCCATTTGGGGGAGTGAACCAACAGAAGGAAGACCTTTCTCTCTGTCTCTCTCTCTCACTGTCTAACTCTGCCTGTCCAAAAAAAAAAAAAAAAAAGATTTATTTTACTTATTTGAAAAGTAGAGTTACAAAGAGAAAGAGAAGAAGGGAGGGCAGGAAAGAGACACACGGAGAGACAGAGATCTTCCATCTGCTGGTTCACTTCCCAACTGGCTACAATGGCTGGGGCTGGGCCAGGTTGAAGCCAAGAGCTAGGAACTCCATCTGGGTTTCCCACATGGGTAGCAGGGGCCCAAGTACTTGGGCCATCTTCCACTGCTTTCCCAGGCACATTAGCAGGGAACTGGATCCGAAGTGGAACAGCCAGGACTCAAATCAGCCCTCCTATGGGTGTGGGGAGCAACTGGGAGCAACTCGGACTAGACTAAGTTACTGGAATTAAGACTTATTCTATGCATCTGCTCTCCCACAATATGGTGCTGGGAGAGGAGGAAACAGCTTCTACACAGCTGCCTCCAGTTCAACCAATAAACAGCAGGACCTGCTCCTGATTGGAAGAGAGCAGCGTACTCGGCGTGTGGGTAGCAGAGTTGGGATTGGTGGAAGAGGACTATAAAGGAGGAGAGAGACAACATGCACCAGGAACATCTATCTGAAGGAACACCTGTGCAGCCCCCGAGAGAGCCAGCCGGCGGTGTGCCGCTCCCCCGCGGAAGTGGGGAAAGTGGCAGGGGGAACCGCCCTTCCACGGAGGTGGAAGGGACGGTAGCCAACCCGGGAAGAACCAGCAGCAAACCCGGGAAGGGCCGAGCAGACAAAAGAACAGCGCAGGGTCCTGTGTCGTTCCTCCACGAAGACGGGGAGCGACATATGGGATGCCAGCTTTTCAGGCAGTAGCTCAACCCACTGCACTATGAAGCTGGCCCTGCATGATAATTCTTAAATTATGAAGTACTGCATGGTTTATTTTCTGGACATTCACCCATGCAGAATTTTTAAAATCTCAGGCACAATGAAGTGCTGCTGGTTCGAGTAGAGAACATAGCCTGGGGTTGGCAGACACCTCGTGCTGCGTTGGGGGTGGGCAGGAATCCCAGGAAACGTCTGGACACCACACAGCTAGGGATGAGCTGTCAACTGCTGGGGGGTGCTTTGCAAATTGCCACATCTAAAGCAAGCTGACAAAATGGTATTTCAAGAAAGCAACTAACATATTCCTAATGATTTGGAACCAGACTGCCTCTGGGGAAGCATACAGTTGGCTCAGAAAAGGAGTATCCCAGACCTCTGGGTAGAAAGGCTTGAGGTTAAGGGGATTCTTCAACCAGGAGCTCCCCAGGCTCTCTCCCTGTGCCTTAGCCAGCAGAGCACCCTGGGCTTTGTAGGAGGGAGTAGGAGTTCCTTCCCCTTGCACCTCCTGCTGGCTCCAGCCCACAGCACTGAGATGGGTTAAACATTCATCTGTTCATCTGGTAAACACTTGCTGGTCACCTCCCCCTGTGGAAGGGACTGGGAATACACCTGGCCATTGAAGAGCTCACAACCAAGCAGTTGGGTATGGAATGAATCAACACACAGAGAGCCTTCAGAGAAGGTGGTGGTAGAGACAAGGGACTAATCGGGGAGCTAAAGGCCACGCCCCCTGCTCCCTACATGATCTCACCTATATCGACCCACCCGTCAATCAGACTACATAAGCACACCCCTTTTAGAAGTGGATAAGAAGCCGGCGCCGCAGCTCAATAGGCTAATCCTCCGCCTAGCGGCGCTGGCACCCCAGGTTCTAGTCCCGGTCGGGGCGCCGGATTCTGTCCTGGTTGCCCCTCTTCCAGGCCAGCTCTCTGCTGTGGCCCGGGAGTGCAGTGGAGGATGGCCCAAGTGCTTGGGCCCTGCACCCCATGGGAGACCAGGAGAAGCACCTGGCTCTGGCTTCGGATCAGCACGGTGCGCCAGCCACGGTGGCCATTGGAGGGTGAACCAACGGCAAAAGGAAGACCTTTCTCTCTGTCTCTCTCACTGTCCACTCTGCCTGCAAAAAAAAAAAAAAAATAGAAGTGGATAAGAGGCATTGCCGCTTCTTGTGCCTGCTCTCACCTGCATGCCCTCTCTCGCTTATAGTCTCTGGGCTACTCCCTAGAAAAGGCTGGTATGGAACTCCCCGTTTACTCTTGCTGACCCACTTTCCCTTAATAAAGCCTGCACGATCCTGTGTATTTCTCTCCCTTTCCAAATAAGTCCTGAACTTTCCCATGTTGTCTGTCTTGCATGGGCCGGTGCTTAGGATTCTTATCTAAAGTAAACAGCATGAACTTGAAATATAAAATTTTGGCTAAAGGTAAACCATAACAGTAGCAATATTGTCTTCACAAGAGGACCACAGGTTAAATGTAATTCCTAACAAAAACTACCCCTAGAATATAGTAGAATCATCTGGAGGTGACCCCTAGTCCCATAGGTGTTGGCCCCTGTAGGTCTGTGAAGGCAGCCCTTAATTCCTGTTTGACATGAAAGGCATTGTGTTAGAATCCCTTCCTGGTCTGGGGAGCTTTAGGCTCCAGATGGCCACTATAAATGGCAATGTGTGTCTATGTTACATAGCATGAAAAGACCGGGCTATCTCAGGACAGCTTCCTCCTCTGTTCCCTTGGAGAATATTAGCAGGTAAATAAGCTTCCGTGTTACCAAAAAAGAGGGAACTGGAGCATGATAGCGAGAGGAGAGCATGGTGATAGCAAGTCCTAGATGGCTGCACCCTGGAAAAGAGAAGCAGATCCAACCTCAAGAGGGGTCAGACAGCACGGAAGCACGGGGTAGGCAGTGCAGCTAGGGATAGGTTGAGTCGCAGAGTACAGCAAACAAGCAGAAAAGGTGCAAACCCCTTCTCCTGGCTCCCCCACACCGCAGATCAGCTGAAAGGCCACTGAAGTTGCCTTGAGAGAGATACCAGATGCCATCGTAATGTTGGAATCAAGTCACTTCTCAAATGCAAACTTTTAGAGACCTTTTTTTTATCATATTGCTAATTTTCTCAAACTCAACAGTATTCCCCCACCTTACGCCAACTCCACACTGATTGACAGCCATGCCTGTTGCTAAATAATGACAGCTTCTGCCCTGTGACTTAGTTTTATCCAGCTCAGTTTGGGTCACTGCTCTCATAGCCCAAAAAGTAACAGGAACGACAATGGCATTCTCTGGTGAGCAGCAGCAGAGGGGAAGCCCCTAAGCAGTGGTCTACACCCTTGGCTTATATGTTGGACTCACGTGAGAGAAGTTTCAAAAATCCCCACACAACACCCCAAGCCATCTTAGGGGCGGGGCCGAGGCATCCACATATATTTTAAGTTCCTCAAAAGATTTCTGTGTGCAGCTGAGATTGAAAACTTTCCCCCCACAAGTCTTGGGGTAATTGGGTCGCAGAAAACTGTCAGTAAGTGACAGCTGAGCTCCCCTCTTTCCTTTGGAATTCCTCCTGGGAAGTGATTCTGGTGGCTTTCTAAGAGACCACAAAGACATAGACATAAGTACATGCGGGGGCCGGCGCTGTGGCCTGAAGCACCGGCATCCCATATGGGTTCCAGTTGGAGACCCGGCTGCTCCACTTCCAATCCAGCTCTCTGCTGTGGCCTGGGAAAGCAGTAGAAGAGGCCCAAGTCCTTGGGCCCTTGCACCTGCGTGGGAGACCTGGAAGAAGCTCCTGGCTTCAGATCGGCGCAGCTCCGGCTGTTGCGGCTAATTGGGGAATGAACCATCAGATGAAAGACTTCTCTCTCTTTCTCTCTCTCTCTCTCTCTTTCTCTCTCTGCCTCTCCTCTCTCTGTGTAACTCTGACTTTCAAATAAATAAATGAATAAATCTTTAAAATAAGTAAATAAATATATGTGCCCCTCTTGCCATCTGTTCTGCCCGGCCTCAGGACTCTTCCAGCAAGGAGGCCACCACCGGAGCCCAAACCAATGGAGCCCACCCAGTCTTCCGAGCCGTGAGCCTCCAAGACAGCGAGCCAAAACAAATCTCTTCGCTTCACAAGTAGCTTCTCTCAGGTATTTCTTTATAGCAACAGAAGGCTGACAACTACAGTAGTGAATCCCTGTTTCAAAGACAGTCGCTAACAGGTGCTGCTGGTGTGATGCCATGCTGTAGAGATCCCACATTGAACTTAAAAAACAAATATAAATGCTTTTTAAAAAGATCCTCCAAATTAGATATATAGGTTGGCACATGCTCACTCGGACTTACCGCCAATGGTGGAACTAGAAATGTGCCAGGGGATTTCAACTCAATCTTACCAAGGAGGCAAGTACCAATGCCAGCGCACTTGGTAAAGTGATAAGTATAAATACACAACCGATCAAAAAGATAGGGTATGTGTCTATGAGATTTCACAAATAAGACCAGTGTAAGCAAATAACGAAGGATAGAATTAAAAGGGAGAGAATGATCCTGCGGGGGAAACAGGACACACAGCAGACTCATAGAATGGCAGCACTCCTGCCTCAGAATCAGCCCTTGGGACATTCGGATATGGCTAAAAGGTCCATGAGAGTCTCACAGGCATGGAAAGCCATGACACGGTGGCAAAAAACAATCTAAATGAAAGATCCTGGTGAACAAGACCCCAGCAGAAGGAACAGGCCATCAAGGAGGGAGGCGCCTTTCTCTGAAGGGAGGAAGGAACCTCCACTGTGATACGGCTTTGACTAAACAAGGTCAGAGTCGGTGAACTCAAGGGGCTTCCATAGCCTAGACAGCTCATAGCAAGAGTCTCGGGTGATTGCTGACGTCATAAATAAGAGTGCCAGTTGTTAAATCAACAACGGGAGTCACTGGGTACAGGCTCCCCACGTAGGATCTCTGTCCTTAATGTGTTCTACTATGAAACTTAAAAACAACACTACTAGTTGAACAATACCCTATACCTTGTGCGGTTGTGTGAGGGCAGCCTGTTGAAATCCTTGCTTAGTATATACTAAGTTGATCTTCAGTATATGAAGGTAATTGAAAATGAAACTCGATGAAGGGCGGGATGGGAGAGGGAGTGGGAGAGGGGAGGTCCACGGGAGGGAGGGAGGTTGGGGGGGAGCCACAACAATACAAAAGCTGCACTTTGTAAATTCACATTTATTAAATAAAAAAAAAACTATATAACAAACAAAAAGAAACAGAAAAAAAAAGAACTTAATACTTTACCCTTTTAGTTAGTATTTTTTATGTTCACTTAAAACTATTGGTTGAACTCTGTAATTAATACACAATTACTCTTAGGTGTTTAATTAATGCTATAACTAGTACTCATAGTATTTTACACTTTGTGTTTCTGTGTGGGTGCAAACTGTTGAAATCTTTACTTAATATATGCTAAATTGATCTTCTATATATAAAGATAATTGAAAATTAATCTTGATGTGAATGGAAGGGGAGAGGGAGTGGGAGAGGGGAGTGTTGTGGGTGGGAGGGATGCTATGGGGGGGGAAGCTATTGTAATCCATAAGCTGTACTTTGGAAATTTATGTTCATTAAATAAAATAAAATATAAATATAAAAAAATCCTCCAAATTGCTAAATTTTTCCCCTCGCCTCCTTTTTTACTTTTTTTTCTCTTTGAGCTTTCTCCTGCACCTGCTCTCCCATGGCAGCAGTCATCCTCAGTCCTCTTACCCCTTGTCTACCTCATTACTCTCCGTGCCTTCCTCTTCTTTCTACATGTATTTTGTTTCCTTCTACTCTGTTCTCTTCTGTCTGCCCACAACACACACCTCTCCTCTCTATATCATCATCTTTCCCACTTGCAACTCCTTCATTGGTTAATATGGAACAAAAGCACTGTCAGATATTTTTATAGTTGTTAAATAAGATGTTTTGTTAATTTAAAAAGCAAATAATGAAAATATATTCCTCTCTCCAGGTAGGCAAAAAAAAAAAAAAAAAAAAAAAGCTAGCTCAGACACAGCATCAATTAAGTACCATGCGGGCTGTGGCCGGCACTGGGGCATATCGGGTGAAGCTGCCACCTGCAGTGCCAGCATCCCATGTGGGCGCTGATTTGAGTCCCGGCTGCTCCACTTCCAATGCAGCTCTCTGCTATGGCCTGGGAAACTGGTAGAAGATGGCCCAAGTCCTTAGGCCCCTGCACCCACATGGGAAGACCCAGAGGAGGCTCCTGGCTCCAGATCAGCACAGCTCTGGCCGCTGCAGCCAATTGGGGAGTGAACCAGCAGTTGGAAGATCTCTCTCTTTCTCTCTCCCTCTCCTTCTCTCTGTGTGTAACTCCTATTTTCAAATAAATAAATAAATCTTTTTTTTAAGTACCATCCAGGCTGACATTGTGGAATAGCAGGTTGAGAAGCTGCCTGCAACACCAGCATCCCATATGGGCACCAGTTTCTTTTTTTTTTTTTTTATTATTTTATTATTTTTGACAGGCAGAGTGGACAGTGAGAGAGAGAGACAGAGAGAAAGGTCTTCCTTTTGCCGTTGGTTTACCCTCCAATGGCTGCCGCGGCCGGCGCGCTGCGGCCGGCGCACCGCGCTGATCCGATGGCAGGAGCCAGGAGCCAGGTGCTTTTCCTGGTCTCCCATGGGGTGCAGGGCCCAAGCACTTGGGCCATCCTCCACTGCACTCCCTGGCCACAGCAGAGGGCTGGCCTGGAAGAGGGGCAACCGGGACAGAATCCAGCGCCCCAACCGGGACTAGAACCCGGTGTGCCGGCGCCGCAAGGCGGAGGATTAGCCTAGTGAGCCGCGGCGCTGGCCTGGGCACCAGTTTGTGTCCCAGCTGCTCTACTTCTAATCCAGCTCCTTGCTAATGCAGCTGAGAAAGTAGCTGAAGATGGCCCAAGTGCTTGGGTCTCTGCACCCCCATAGGAGACCCTGAAGAAGCTCTTGGCTCCTAACTTCAACCTGGCCCAGCCCCAGCTATTGTAGCCATTTGGAGAGTGAACCAGTGGATGTAAGACCTCTCTCTATCTCTCCTCTCTCTGTCACTCTGCCTTTCAAATAAATAAATAAATATTTAAAAAAATTAAATACCATCTCTAGTAATGATTTCGCATAGCTTGCTGCATTGGTCCTAGATTACTTTCTCCATGTAGTTCACTGCTTCTCCATAGAGAAATGGTTCTCTGTTCTTCAAGAAACCTGAAAACAGCAGCTGACATCAATGTCAAAAGAGAAACAAGCTAAAAACAGGGATTGAGTGTATACACCCTGAGTTGCACATTCAGTTGCAAAACCATCATCATTATTATTGTAATTACGGAGGGGAGGCATTCCAATAATTGCTCAAAGTGTCTTCTTGAGGAAATAACTAAATCAAGGCCAGCTGTCACAACCCAGTCTATAATAATGATCCCCGTATGTGCACTTTCAGGAGTCATAGCTGTTCTACAATAACAAATTTGTGCATTCATCTAATGTCCTTAAACAACCTAAAAAATAACGAACCTATGATCAGATCGGGTGTCTCACTCAGTAATTGACCTGTGTTTTCAAATAGTGTCCCTGAACAACCTTAGAATCATAAATCATCGAACAAAAATAGTACCAGCAGTTTAATAACAGACGAGGGGTAGGTGGCTCAGCATCCACCTGGGACATGACAGCCAGCAAATCTCCACACACAAGCAGCGTGGAAACCGGGAAGGTCATGCAACAGACAGCCTCGACTCCGGGAGAAACAGCCGTGAGGGGAGCCATGTCTTCATGTCTTACTCACTTGAAAATTGTAAACAAATGGGAACTGTGAAGGCCTTGTTTTTAGTTTACTTGTGAAATCAACCAAAAGTATTTGCAATTTTCTCTTCCCAAGATACAGCTGTGAAATGACTAATAGGAATTAAGGGAGCCTGCCCCAGGAACTGTACGTGCCACTTCACTGAGAACAAAACCCGTTCCCCTGAGAGCCTAGGTCCTCGCAGATGAATCCCTGAGGTGCTGTAAAGAGGACCAGCCAGCACCAACAGGTGCATTTGTAAACAGTGACATCAGCCACGTGCCATCACTCATTTTTCCCGCATCTTAATCCCTTTGATTCGTGTTTATAACTTCACTTTCATGCTCCTGAAGAAAGAGAAAGAAAATTTCCTATCACACTATTTTTTTTTCCCCTGCTGGGCCCTGCCTGCCCTGCAGGAGCCTTGCTGAACACTGGGCCAGAGCCTCTTGGGAAACGTGAATGACCCAGGACTGCTTCACTTGGCCACTGCTCGGATCCCACCGTCCTAGGCTTCAGACCTCGGACCTCGTAGTCCTTATTGCAACAGCTCCAAAGATTTGCATATTTGCTCTCCAGCTAAAAACAACTTACCCACACCCAATGTTATCCTATTTCAGTAATTAATTAAAGTACTTTTTTTTTTTTAAAGTATTTATTCAAGAGGCAGAGTTACAGACAGACAGAGGGAGAGGCAGCGAGAGAGGTCTTCCATCTGCTGGTTCACTCCCCACATGGCTGCAATGGACGGAGCTGGGTCAATCCGAAGCCAGGAGCCAGGAGCTTCTTCTGGGTCTCCCATGTGCTTGCAGGAGCACTTAGACTATCCTCTGCTACTATCCCAGGTGCATTAGCAGGGAGCTGGATAGGAAGTGGAGCAGCTGGGACTTTCATACCAGTGCCCATATAGGATGCCAGCGCCTCAGCGCGGGCTCAAAGTATTTTCCATAAAAATATTAGAAGAGATGTTGATTGACATTTTGAAAGCTTTTTCAAGGCTAAATCTATGATTTTTTTTCATAGTAAAACACAGGACTGTAATAAAAATAAAAATAGAAATTTCAGGGCTGGCGCTGTGGCACAGTGGGTTAATGCCACAGCCTGCAGCACTAGGACCCCATATGAGCACTGGTTTGAGTCCCAGCTGTTCCACTGCCAATCCAGCTCCTTGCTAATGTGCCTGGGAAAGCAGTGGAGGATGGCCCAAGTCTTTGGGCCCCTGCTATACACATGGAAGACCCAAAGGAAGCTCCTGGCTCCTTGCAGCCATTTGGAAGGTTAACCTGTGGATGGGAGATCTCTCTGTCTCTCATTCTGCCTCTCTGTAACTCTACCTTTCAAGTAAATAAATAAATAAATATTTAAAAAAAAACTTAAAAAGTTTAAAGTGGAAGGAAAGAATTCATCCTGAGTGGGTGCTGTAGCATAATGGGTAAAGCCGCTGCCTGCAGTACTGGCATCCCATATGGGCGCCAGTTTGACACCTGGCTGCTCCACTTCCGATCCAGCTCTCTGCTATGGCCTGGGAAAGCAGTAGAAGATGGCCCAAGTCCTTGGGCCCCTGCACCCACGTGTGAGACTCAGATGAAGCTCCTGGATCCTGGTTTCAGAATGGTGTAGCTCTGGCCATTGTGGCCATTTGGGGAGTGAACCAGCAGATGGAAGACCTCTCTCTCTCTTCCTCTCACTCTCTTTGCCTCTCTGTAATTCTGCCTTTCAAATAAATAAATAATTACATAAATAAATAAATAATCTTAAAAAAAGAAAAAACCTCTCTCTCACTCTCTCTGTAACCCTGCCTTTTAAATAAACAAACAAAAATAATTCTTCCTGCTATTATTTCAAGGTCAACACTGTTAACTATTTCTTACTAAAGAGTAACCTCATTAACTATTTTTCCATATAAGAATATATGATACAGTATTTTTACACATAGCAGGTCATACACTATATCCTATACCTTACTTTATTCATTTAAGAACATATCAGAAATATTTCTACATCAGCACATGTAGATTTTATTTTTTTAAAGATTTATTTATTTATTTGAAAGAGTTACACAGAAAGAGGAGAGGGAAGGAGGGAATGAGGGAGGGAGGGAGGGAGGGGGAGAGAGAGAGAGAGAGAGAGAGAGAGAGAGAGAGAGAGAGGTCTTCCATCCACTGGTTCACTCCCCAAATTGCTGCAATGGCCGGAGCTGCACTGATCCGAAGCCAGGATCCAGGAGCTTCTTCCAGGTCTCCCACGCAGGTGCAGGGGCCCAAGGACTTGGGCCTCTTCTACTGCTTTCCCAGGCCACAGCAGAGAGCTGGATCAGAAATGGAGCAGCCAGGTCTCAAACTGGCACCCATATGGGATGCTAGCACTTCAGGTCAGGGTGTTAACCCACTGCACCACAGTGGTGCTGGCCCCACATGTAGATCTTTTAATTATGAGATGTGCCACAAATTTATTTAGCTGTTATCCAACTGTTGAGCATTTAAATCATTTCTACCTATATTGTTATTATCAACAATTTTTCCATGAATTTCTTTATGCATATGTCACTGGGGACTTGCACGGTTCTATCTGTAGGATAAATTCCACTCAGTGAAATTGCTGGGTCAAAGCAAATGTGCATGTCAGTTGAATTAGATGTTCTCAAATTATAATCCTGAAAAGACTCCACTCCACATTTCCATCCACAGTGTAATTTCCACTTTGACTTTGCCAAAACTATGTTTTATTGAGCTTTAAGCTTTTTTTCACTCATAGGTAAAAATGGCACCTTGCTGATTGGGGATTTTCAAATAAGCATTAATGAAGTTGAGCATTTTTCCCAAATACCTTTGTCATTCTCATTTTTTCATGAATGTTTGCTCATATTCTTTGTTTTCCTGCTCATTTTTTTCCTTGTAAAACCATATGATCTCTTGTGTCATAAAGAAATAAGTACGTTTCTGTTCTGTTGTAAATAATTCTTTCTACTGTGCCATTTGTCTTTGGCCCTCTGTATGACATTTTCTTATTGTCATCAATTATTAAATTAGTACATTTAATTAGAAAGGCCAAGACAGAGAGACGCATAGAGAAAGAGATCTTCCATGGCTGGAAATCAGGGGTCCAGAACTCAGTTCAAGCTTCCTACAGGTGTAGCAGGGGCCCAACCCCTTGAGCCATCACCTGCTGCCTCCTAGTGGTGTGCATTAGCAGAAAGCTGGAATCAAGAGCAGAACTGGGCCTCCAACCCGACCACCCCAGTGTGGGATGCGCTGCTCCAAGTAGTGACTTACAGATTATGCCAAAGCCCTCCTCTTCACGTTTGTTTTTGCCATGTAAAAGTTGTAAATGTTTTCTAGAAACGCATT